TTCATCAATCTGTGAATAGAGGTGGGTGTCAAGAGCCGTATAACTGCTGTGCTCATGCAAGGCCTGAAAGAAACAATGAGGGCCTGGCTAGGCTTGTTACTCCTGGTGGAGGGCACACTGAGGGGTAACGGTGCCATAATGTACAAGTATGCCACAAAGATGACCAGGAGCAGTCTTCCAATTGTTTTGGGTGGACCAAAGCCTTCAAACCTATATGTCCAGGTCTTCCTGGAGACCTACAGTGTGTGTGAGTGCACAGGTGTGCATATGTGTTATAAGGCAGGAGCTGACCATAACTCAGGGTCTTTGCGTGGGGATAGGTGTGTGTCCTTTCATTCAGCTGTGTGCTCCAGCCTGGAGGGACCTACCCAGAAACAGAGGGGCTTTACTGGAGAGACTGCACTCCTTGTTGGAGGGATTCGATGTCCATTGAGCTAAGAGGGTCTGGGAGACTCAGGATGCTGGAATAACTAGGCGAGTTCAGGGAACTGAGACAAACCATAAGCCACAGGAGAGTGAGAAAGCTTGGCATGTCAGGAGAACCCCTACCGAGAATCCAGGATGGGTTCCGTATAGCTGAGGGCTGTAACTAAAGGCTGGGTGAGTCAGGAAAACCTTGAGAGACTGGAGACAAAAGCAGTGTGCTGCTGGAAAGAGAGCAAAGTGGCACTGCATTTCTTTTACGTTTGAACTGAATTCCCATGAGCAGCAGGCAACCAAGGTTTTCATTTTCTTTTCTTTTCATTTAAAAAAAAAAAAAAAAAAAAAAAATCATCCACCAAGTCCTTAACCATAGTTTGGACTACTGCAAACCCAATAAATAGCATCTACCACTGAACTAAGCAGTCTATATACTGTGTGTGTATATACAGTCATGGCCAAAAATATTGGCACCTCTGCATTTCTGTCAGATAATGCACCACTTTGCCCAGAAAATTGTTGCAATTACAAATGTTTAGGAATTCTCATGCTTATTTCTTTTGTTTGCATTGGTATGACACGAAAAAAAAAGTGGAAAAACAAAAAGCCAAATCTGACACAGTCCATGCAAAACTCCAAAAATGGACTGGACAAAATTATTGGCACTCTCAATTTAATATTTGGTAGCGCACCCTTTGGAAAAAATAACTGAAGTAATTTGCTTCCTGTAACTATCAATGTGTTTCTTACACCTCTCTACTGAAATTTTGGCCCACTCTTCTTTCTCCAACTTCTCCAGGTCTCTCAGATTAGAAGGGTTCCTTTTACCAACGGTTTTTCTGGGATTTCTCCACAGGTGCTCTATGGGATTGAGATCTGGACTTCTTGCTGGCCAGTTCAGTATTCTCCAGCACTTTGTCTTAAACCATTTCTGGGTGCTTTTTGACGTGTGCTTTGGGTCATTGTTCTGCTGTAAGATCCATGACCTCTGTCAGAAACCCAGCTTTCTGACTCTGGGCCCTACAGTGCACCCCATAATTCTTTGGTAGTCTTCAGATTTCATAATGCCATGCATACGGACAAGTCATCCAGTGCCTGAAGCAGCAATGCAAACCCAAAACATTAGTGAACCTCCACCATGTTTGACTGTAGGGACTGTATTCTTTTCTTTAAAAGAAAAATTTCATTTTAAATTGAAATTAAATTAAAAAATATATTTTTCTGAAAACAGTGGAATGATGGGCTTTACCAAAAAGCTGAAATTTGTTTAGTCTGTCCACAGCACATTCTCCCAAAAAAGGATTTTGGCTTCCTCAGGTGAGTTTTGGCAAACTCCAATCTAGCTTTTTTATGTTTCTGTGTCAGCAGTGGGGTCCTCCTGGGTCTCCTACCATAGTGTCCCTTTTCATTCAGATGGCGACGTATAGTGCGAGCTGACACAGTTGTACCCTGGGCCTGACAGGTCAGCTTAAATTTGTCTGGAAGTTGATTGAGGTTCTTTAGCCACCATTTGAACAATCCTTCGTTGCAATCTTTGATAAATTTTTTCTCTTTCGTCCACATCTAAACAGATTTGTTACAGCGCCATGTGCTGTAAACTTCTTGACATTGTTGTGTACATCACAACATCATATATGACGAAACGCTTGGGAAGAAGCCATGTACACATGCTACCACGCATGCGCAAATGGTCGGTGGCCATCTTTGAAACTAGAAAGGAGTGATCTTCTTGTTTGTACACGCTTGATCTTATCTACTACCATGTGAGTGCACTTTTGTATCTGAGAATAAAGGTCTTAATAAGGATTCACACTATGAGGAGCATTTATTTCCTTTGCATGTCTTATACCATGAGTCCTATTTAGAGCAGCTAAAGGTACTCCAAACGGAGGTTTGCTATAGGAGAACCCTTCACTTGTCTCTCTTGTGGGATTCAGAGGAAGATTGCGTCTGCTAGCCCTTTGGTTGTTTTACAACAGATGCGTAATTGACCGCTCTTTACAGGGGGCCAATTTGCTCTGGTAAGCTGTCCATGCGAGTGGTTGGTGACACATTAGCTATCATTGAAAATTCTTCTATCTCATCACAGCCTTTGGGAATCACCTTCTTCTGATTTCATTTTACAATTTTGGACTTTTTATTGTCACTATATTGTATATAAGCACTGCACTTTCTGTATAGTAATGCTGTGTACAGTAGGCACAGGAACATTAAGATCTCTGGAGATGGACTTGTAACCTTGAGATTGTTCATGCTTTTCCATAATTTTTGTTCTCAAATCCTCAGAGAATTCTTTGCTGATCTTTCTCTTCTCCATGCTACATGTGGCACATAGAGACATACAACAGAAAGTTTGCGTCAATTTTTCACCATTTTAACTGGTTCCTGGTGTAACTTCCATAATGTCAGCACCTGTTAAGTGCTACAGGTGAGTTTAATTACAAATTACAGGAGCATCACAAACTTGGAATGCAATTATTTCTTACAATTTTGAGAAGCTGGCAATAATTTTGTTCAGTCCATTTTTGGGGTTTTGCATGGAATGTGTCAGATTTAGCTTCTTGTTTCTCTACTTTTTTTGTGTCATTTCAATACAAACAAAAGAAATAAACATGAGAATGCCTAAACATTTGTGATTGCAACAATTTTCTGAGCGAAGTTCATTATCTGACAGAAATGCAGGGGTGCCAATATTTTTGGCCATGGTTGTGTATGCTTGTGTGTATGTGTGTGTGTGTATATATATATATATATATATATATATATATATGTATATGTGTGTGTGTATGTGTGTGTATACATGTGTGTGGTGTTGTATATGTGTGTGTGTGTATATATATATATATATGTGTGTGTGTATATATATATATATATATATATATATATATATATATATTTATATATTTTATATCTTTTATATGTTTTGTCCCTAATTAACAAGTGTTGTATAAGCTTGCATTTGGATCTAGTTATGTTAACATGTATAAATCTTGTGCTGTTAGCTGTTACTTCAACATCACATGAAGGTGGAACTAAATACAGTATTTACTTATTCCAAAACATAGAAAAGCTTTTGTGACACCATGTTATAATAATCCAGTATAATGTACAGTGCAACTGGTGTAACCAGGTGCATAAAATATCTTTCATATGCAGGATTAGATCACTTAGACATTTTATTCCAGCCTGCCATTTTTTTTTGTTATCTATCCATTCTAACAGAAGTTACTACTACTGAGAGCTCATTAAATGTGTACAAAAAGAACGAGCAGAAATGGCTTTCTGTATGAGTAGATTTAAAGTAGCAACTAACTTGGCCATCTTTACTTTTGACATACAGAGATCGTAAATGTAACACATCCAGTGAACAACTGCATATGCCTAATCTTTACTATGTCAAGAAAGTCTGCTTGACTTTTCAGTTCAAACTCTGTGTTTGAAGGTCATCTGTTGCAGTTGTCTATAGCACATTTATATTGCCCATTTGTTGTTTGAATGTCAGCATCAGTGCCTTAAATGAAAAACTATAGTGTATAGCCAGTGATTGCACATTTTGAGTTGCTGCTGAAAAGTTTATTTAAAATTAGTTTTTTTGATTTTTTCTTTTTCTATTTCATATTTTTTGGTGATGTTTTTTCCAGATACAGATCTGAACATTTTCACTATAATCATCACCCTTGAGATACAAACAATTACACCTTTAGACACACACAGATTGTATTGTTTTGTGCTATTAAGATTGAATTATGTACTGTCTCTGTGCTGCCTTATCAAACAGTATCACAGCATTTTTCTGCAAATTGCAGCTATAACCCTATACACAAACCACATGTATTTAGAAATGATAAAAAGGAGCATTTTTTTAAAAAAAGATACATGTTTAAACATTGATAAAATATTGATAAATGATTTAATTTACAGGGATGGAAAATAAACCAAGGATAACCCTGGTTTAGTGTGCTTCTGAATTTGTGACAGGCACCTAGCAAAAAAACAAAACAAAAAGTTGCACCATTTATGTTCCTATTACTCTTGGGTGTCTATGTATAAAAAAAATGTGCTGTACAAATGTGACAAACATTCACGCAGCCACTTTTAAAAATTGCCTTGTTTTGTGTTTTAATTATTTCCTTTAATTAAATGATTTAATTATTCAATTATTTTTTTTTGTGTTATAATTATTTCCTATAATACAAGGCCGCCTGACACCTGAAAAGGTGGCCAGATCATACTTGCACATCTGATGATCCTCTTTGACCAGTCATTATAAGATAAAATTTTGCTTTTTTCCATTGATTTATTGCAGTCGCTCACCACTTTTTTAGAAAAAGGTTATAATTTTTATTTTTTTTTTTTACCATGGAGAAAGCTGTGAAAAACAAGAAAATTTATGAATGTACAATAACTGGCTATTGATGTGCTTCTCGTGAAAGCCTGATTCATGCATTTGATGTTATACATCTCATCTCTCTTCCCCGTTTGGCTTTAGTGGAAAATCATGCTGGTTGTTTTACTGTCTAAGTAGTGTGATTAATGAAGTGAACTTGGCTCACATTGTTCTCTTGTGTTTTTGCTCCTAGGGTATTTTGCCTGTGGAGTATCTTAACAGCAGCAGTCTTTTTTTAAAGCAGAGAGTATGCTTACGAATGCTCTTCAGATTCTGGAGCAGTTCAAGGTAAGCACTTATTCTTTTTTTTTTTTTTTTTAGGCTCCTAATGAGTTTGATACTGTTGCTCTGAGAACAAATTTGTAAAAAAAGATTTTATTATCTTTCATTTTACCCATTAAGAATGATTTTTTTGTTGTTTACAGATAACACCCATTACTACCCCACACATTTTGATTTCTATTTTTTTTTCCTTTCTAGTAGTTTCTTCTCACCTCTTCTATTATCTTCTAGCTTCAATGTATCCTCTTCTCATTATGTCCACTTTTACTCTTTACTCCTCTATCCTATTTTTTTCCCTTTCCCTTCTATTCCATCAGTTCTACGAATCTCTGTGAAATTTTAAATCCCCCCACTTTTCCAAGATCTTTCAAAATATATCCATTTTATCTTCTGCACTAAAATATAGTTCTTCATTCTTGTATATAAATTCTACTCTTTTATCCAATCTTTTATTCTTGGGGTCTCTTGGGCCTTCCAAAATTTTGGGATCAGCCCTTTTGCTGCGTTAATTTAGGGCAGTGTCATTGTGTTTTTATATTGTTTCATTGTTAAGTCTGTATTATAAAAAAGGCACACCCACGGGTCTGTCAGTATGCTTTCCCCCATAATCTCGCCTATTTGTTGTATTATCTCCTGCCAGAATTCCTGTATTCTGGGACATTCCCACCATATGTGTGTTATTGTACCCACCATCCCACATGTCCTCTAACAATACATAGAAATCTCTGGATGTTGTTTTATGTGCTCTAATAGGTGTAATATACCATCTTGTCAGTAAGTTATAGTTCATCTCTACAGTATTCATATCTACTGCCCCATGTATGGTTTTAAGTATTTTGCTTCTCTGTTGTTCACTCAACTGCAGTCCCATCTAATTTTCCCATGAATGCTGGTATAGCCGAATCAGATATCATAGTATCTTCTTATAATACGGTGAGGTACCATGTTTTTGTGTTCCATTTGAGTTTAACAATTGCTCAAATGGGTACATATTTTTAACCCCCCCCCTCAGTGGTTGTGGGAGAGATGTGACAAAATGCTTTAATTGTCGATATCGCCAATCATCAAGTACGTAAAACGTGTCCTTTTTTTTGTTTCAACTCATGAAATGTGCATATTTCTCCATTGCTCGTAATATCCTTTAATCTTACATTCCTATCTTTAATCCACGTCCCTACTAAAGTAATTTTGCCCGGCAAAAAAAAATTTGTTCCTTTTAGTGGTATTAATGGTGAATTAAACCCCCATTCATTTTGTTTGTGAATTAAATCCCATACGTTAAGTACAGTTCTTCTTAACATGGTAGCGTTTTCTGAAAACAATCGATATTGTTGTGGAACCCCTAATAATTTTATTTAATTGTGCTTCACTTAACGTTTGTTCAATCCCCACCCAACTTTTCCCCCAAGCATTATATACCCAAACCATTATTCGTGAGAATACTGCAAAATGATATCTTTTTAAGTCCGGCACATTTAAACCCCCACTTATTTTGTCTTTACATAATACTTCATATTTCATTATCATTCTTTTTTTTTACCCCTAAAATATGTTTGTAGCAAATATATTGGTAACATTTGGAATTTATACAGGACCTTAGGCACTATCACCATCTTCACTATATTTATTCGTCCTATCCAAGAAAGTGATATTTTTGAAATCTTCCTCAGCTCGTCCTTAATCTCATTTAATAATGGTATATAGTTTGTCTGGTATATATTTCCTAATTAACGGAGTCAACTTTACTCCCAAGTAATTAAGTTCTTTATCCCTCCAAAAAAATCGAAACTTTTCTTGTAGAGACTGTCTTTCTGCTTTCATTAAATAATATACAATATCTCTGATTTGGAGAGATTGATTTTAAAAATTTGATAATTCTCCATAATGTTTTAATATTCTCATGAGGTTTGGTAATGTTCCCTACATAAATAAACATAAATCTGAATACGCTGCCACTTTATGTTCTAGTTCTCCAATTTGTAACCCCTTTATATCTACACTCTGCCATATCGTTGCTAACAAGGGTTAAATAAAAATAAAAGCAGTGAAAGTGGGGGCATCCTTGTATTGTTCCATTGTACATATCAAAGGGATCTGACAATGAGCCATTGACTTTCACCGCTTCAGAAGGATTGCTATATAGAGCTTTTATCCACTTAATTTTTGGCCCCAGTCATATCGCTTCTAAAGTACTCATGACAAACTTCCAGTCCACCCTGTCAAACACTTTCAACGTCTATGGGCAGAAGTAAAACTGGGAATTTATCTTTCTTACTTTTCTGTAGAACTAGTAGTGACTTCAGACCATTGTCTCTACCTTCTCTTCCCAGTATGAATGCTACTTGATCTATATGAATCCATTAAGGCATTAAATCTTTCATCCTATTGGCAATAACTTTGCATACAGTTTTATATCTATATTCAATAATGCTATTGGTCTAGAGCTGGCACATTGAGATAGATCTTTACCTTCTTTAGGAATGATTGTTTATATGTGCCAGCAAAGATTCTTTCCTTATTTGCATTTCCTCTCCTACTGCATTCATATACGCACACATTTTCGGGACTAGTTGTTCTTTAAACCTCCTATAATATCTTACAGTATATCCATCTGGCCCCAGGCTTTTCCCTGCTTGTGTGCTCCTAAGAGCTTCAGATACCTCTTCTTGTGTTATTGGTTTATCTAACATTGCCAGTCTTTTTTCTTTTAATTTAAGTAATGCCGTATTCTGTAGATATGTCTGGATTTTTTTATTTCTAGTCTCTTCCAATTATCTTGAATTCTTTGAGGTTAAAGGGAGCTATAATATTTTTGAAATACACTCACAATTAATTTAGTTGAATATACTAGTTCTCTTTTTTATCTCTAATATTTTCTATATAATTTGTTGATTTCTTTTTTTTTTTAATATATATATTTGCTCTCCAATTCATATAATTCCTCTATTATTGTTTTTTATCTTTTGCCCATAATTTTTTTTTTTTTTTTTCTGCCCCTATGGAAATTAGGATACCTCTAATATACGCCTTATGGGCTTCCCAAATCGTAGCACTTGAAACTACTTCCATTTCATTTATTAGAAAATATTGCTCTATTTCTTTTTATATTCTTACTTCCATCTCCTGATCTTGTATTAGTGTTTCATTTCATTTCCATGCATACATTTTAGTATGTTCCTTCCCCACTTTCAGTCTCATTGTAACCGATGCATGATCTGATAATGATGTAACCTCAATACTGGATTTAATCAATGATTCCAATAGTCTGTGTTCTATCATTATGTAATCCAATCTAGAATATGTCGCATGTACTGAGGAATAGAACGTATAATCCTTTACCCCAAAATGTTTTATTCTCCATGCATCTACCAATTGATATTGGTGTAATTTATTTTTTATTTGCCTTAAACATCTTCCTCCATCCCTCTGTACATGCGGTGATGTATCCAACTTAGAATTCATGCAGAAGTTAAGGTCCCCTGCTACAATCAATTTACCTTTCTTAAAATCCATACATTTCCTTAATGTATCCTCTAAAAAACATGATTTGGTTCTTGTTTGGACTGTAAATATTTGCGAGTGTGTATTCCATTTCATATAATTTCCCCCTCAAAAAACAAAATTGTCCATCAGGGTCCACCATTCTGTCTTCTATAGTAAATCTTACGTTTTTTTTGCCATTCCAATAGCTACCCCCTTAGCTCATTTTATTGGTGAGTCAGCATAATACGAAACCGAGTAGTTTTTAGATTGTAACCTAATTCTTGTATCATGAGATAGGTACGTCCATCGAACATTGATGTATTTCCTTTAGGATCTTATGTCTTTTTACCGGAGAATTTAATCCTTTTATGTTGTAAGTTATAAAATTAACTACCTTCCCATCCTCCATCCTTTTTTTATTCCTCCTGCTTTTTTTTTCCAATCCACCTAGGTATAGATCTTAATATGATACATCTAACCCAGCAAAAAACTACTAGACAAATTCTTCTACTTTCTCACCCCCTTCCCCCAACCCTTCCCTCCCCACTCTCCTCCCACTGCCCATCCTCTCTCCCCTTCCCCTCATCCCCCCTCTGCCTCCCCACCCCTAGAAAACCTATGGCTCGTTTGCAGCCTGAGGATCTGTTGTGGGATATTACCCATCCTTGATCCCTCCAATTGGGGTAAGTCTCTGTCTATGTACGCCTCCCTCCACCCCTCCCACCCTTTTAGAGTGTGTGTCCAGGGGTGTGTTGGCCTCCATTTATCCTGCCTATGCTGTACCTTTGAAACCTCCATCCCTCTATCCCCCCATGCCTCTCCCCAATCATCTGAATCTCCATCCCCCCACATTACATGTAGGAAGAGGAATCCAGGAGAGAGGGAAGGAGAAGAGAAAAAAGAAAATGGAACCCTTAATCCAGGTTTCCAATAAATTACCATTCAACTACCTCTATTAGACTATATATTTTCTCAAGAATATTATCTCCTTCTGTCCTTCAAGTCTCTATTACTTGACTGCCAACTTTTAACCACACTCACAAAACCAAGCCCATATTTGTAGCCACACCCACAAGATCACACTTCCATTTTTTACACACCTTGAAACAATTGGTCACAGACGTTTGGAACAAGAGGCAGACATTTGAGATATAAACACAAACCTCCTTAGGGTTTTGTCCTTCGATAAATGATGATGTTGCATTCGAAGTGCACCATTTCGGATTGTGGGTGTTACCAAATTGCGGTAACAGCAGTATGGGAGTAAATAAAACTTGAGCCAACTCTGCATTGGGGCAAAAGTAACTGTATGGGTCAGGAGTGTGCATGCACAAAGTGTAGGGTTCAGAGGTGTGTAATGCACAAAGAGCAGACTGTACCAAATCTCCTTGTGTTCATATATCTATCACACATTGTGTGTTGTGTTATCATAGTAAATGACAGTATATCCATACTATTCCAGAATATCACAGATCATTTACCATATTCCTACAAATCTTTAAATACCAGCTTTCCACAGTTTAAATGGTGGCCAGGCAAGTGTATAAATGCACCTTAGCACTGCCTTCTTTTGTTTCATCTGCAACTGCCAGCTTCTGTCCCACACTCCAGCCTACTCCTCGCCTGTTAGACCTGTAGCAAAGAGCTGAGGGAAGTGCTCAGAAAGTCCCCCATGACTGAGAGCTGCAGGTCTGAAAGGCAGCGGTGGGGACAGAAGCCAGCAGCTGCAAAATTGAGATTTAGGGGAATAAACACAGAGGACTTCACCACTGTGGTCATTTTGTTTGCCAGGGATAGACTCCTCTCTGGCAAATAGGGATGAAAGGCAAACCTTAAGCTAATCCTTGGAGCTTGAATGTGCTGCTAACTCACTAATTCAGTGCTTCTTTGTATTACTGTCATTCATCCACAATGTTATAAAACAGTTTGCAGTTTATTGCAAACTTGCAAATAAAACTATACTTAAAGTTTAAAGTGGTATTAAACTCCAAAGCAAAGTACCCCATTGCCCCTTCCCCAGAAGAAGGAATCATTGCATATGGTATTTGCCTTGCTCTAGCCAGGACTTTTTAGCATCAGTGGACATAAGGATGCTGCCTACATTTCCCAGTTTTTTCCTCCTCGCCAAAAGTTCTTGGGATTCGCAGTAGAGGACTGGCATTTCCAATGCAGGGCCCTTACCGTAGGTCTGTTCACAGTCTGAATATTCTCAAGAGTCTCAGACGCAATAGTAGGCCTTCTGAAGGTCCAGAAAGGGCCTATTTTGGGATACCTGGATAATCTTCTACTCAGGTTGCAAATTCTTCAGCTTCCGTGCACAGCGCAACTCTCACAGTATGCACCCTGGATAGGTGTAGCTGAATTCAGTCTCCAGAAATCGGTACTGATGCCAGCTCAGTGATTGGCATATCTGGAAAAATAAACAGACAGAGGGCACCATTATCTAAGTGTATCAATTTAATTAAAAACAAGTAAAGAGTTTTACTTGTTTTTATCAAATTGATACACTTAGATGGCGGCGCCTTCTGTTTGTTTTTTGTTTTAGTGCACAGAGATATCCAATACCCTGTTAGAAAGGCTGCTGCCATTATAGAATTGCATGCAGTACATCTGGGCCTACCATACAGAGACTGCAGCTTCTTGCTTGGGACTTTATCACTCTTTGTCTATTGGCGCTATTAGTTTTTTACATTTTTGTACATTGGCATATATGGGCCTGACTGTGGATGCTGTCCAGGCAAGGGTAATTTATACCTCTGGGGAAGAAGAAATCAGGGGGCTTCTTTTAGAACTCAGCTCTCCTCCTGAGGTGAATATTGGGAAGGATTTCAAGGCAGTTAATTTTTCTATGTTCCTTTCCAGACCATACAACTTAAAGGAGAAGTATGGATAAAGCTATTTTGGCCTATGTCACCTATGGATCATAGGAGTGTGACCCGTTTTCAGCCATTTTTAGCCAACTTTGTGATTTTTTTTCAGGTAACTTTAAACTTATGAACCACCAATATATATTTTGAACGATAGCTGGCTCAACCTTTCAGAAAACTGCTGAGAGCCTAAGCCAGCCACTCCCACCCCCTCCACAGCCCGGCACTCCAGTGAGTGCTGGAAGGGCAAAGCAGAGAGCAGGTGACTGACAGTCACCTGCTCTTTTCAGACTGAATCCTGAGAGCTGAGCAATCAGTGGTCTTTCATCACTCAGTTCTTGATGCGGAAGCATCAGGGGACAGCTGCAGCTGGGATCAGTGTTGCAGTCATCTAGGTGAGCATAATTGCTTTTATTTTTGTATTCCTGAACTTCTCTTTTAGGAATATTTATAAAGACCAGCTTGTGTCAAAACTCTTATGCCTTATCATTCACCATTGGGAAAACAGCCTGCAGTCTATTCAGCAGGGCTTGAGTGTGAGAGGAAGTAGAAGCATGAGGAGCCAGTCCGTTGTTAGCTAAAAGTAATTATACATATGTTCTCTCTTACATCACATAAATTCAATAGCAAAAGTGTGCTTGATTGTTTAATGTGCTGAATACAGAAGGGCATGTCACTGCAGTGGTGGTGTATATAGAAGTGCACATTGGTACAGTGGTGGCGAGAGCAGAGGCTGACATTGTTGCAGTGGTGAGTGAAGTGAGAACATGCAAGGGACTTAGCGAGAGCATGGGGGGAAGGAGGAAGGGGATCAGCTGTGGTGGTGAGAGTGATTATATGGGAAGTTTGAAGGTGCAGTGATACCTGCACTGAGTAGTTTTCAATTGCAGCTCCAGATGCTGCCACATTCTTTCAGCCAGTAGCAGAGGGGAATCGGTGGTGTGAGCCAAGCTGGAGATCGCAGTGCTAGTGTGTGTTGTAGCAGATACCAGTTGCTATGGAGGTGGTGTGTACTGATGTTTCCAAAAATTAAAAGGTAACATCCTTTTGAAACACAGGCTCATCTACTACAGGCAGCTGTTAAGTTTGAACCTAGCAGGGGCAGTGCACAGTCGGGTGAGTAATATACCAAGGGCATGGTACAGTACAAAAATGCAGAATTCAGTACTCTGAGCCAAAAAGGGCTTGTCTAATCAGTTTCTGATTTAAGCTGCATACTTTTACAAATATATGTGGAAGCTGTACAAAAGCTTTAGGACCCCTCTTTATTGTGCAGTCCAATTCCAATTCCAATATAGTATAAGCACACCAATATTGGGACATTTGTAAATATGTGTAAATTGAGAATGTTTATTTATTTTATTTGAATGCAATATATTACATCGGTCCTCCTTGCTGAGTAAAGGAGAAATATAGCCAAAGCTTTTTTGGATGTACTTCCCTTGGGAATAACAAAAGTGCAGTTTGTTCTAAAGCCCAATGTCGGATGACTTCACAGAGCCAGTCCATGCTCTGCAAAGATCCCGACCATATGGTCAGGATCCATCCAGATGCCTGGACCTGGCTCATCCTCTAAGTGAGCCGCTGAGAGCCTGAGCCAGCCTCTCCTGCCCCTCCACAGCCCAGTATTCCAGTGAGCGTTGGAGGGGCAGAGTAGAGAGCCAGTGACTGACAGTCACTGCTCTCTGCTCACTGAAGGCTGAGAACTGAGCGATCAGCAGTTCTTGGCCTTCAGTGAGCAAAGTTTTGATCCTGCTAAAAGTTATTATGCATGATCACTAAACTGTACATTATAAATAGTATGGTGTACCTGGCATATATGACACCCTGGGTAGGTACATTTTATACCCCCCTGCTATGTACAACATTAATAATAATCTTGAAATTGAGATTTCCCTTCACTTCTTGTCCCATAGCCAAAACAGAAATTGAGGGGGAAATTTTCTAAAGTGAGAGAATCCCTGGTTTTCACCAGGGTCACCAAAACGTGTATCCCCATTGGAAGATTTAAAATTTTTCCTGTTCTGGTGACAACCCAAAAAGTTTTTGGATTCTGTTTACCGTTCACTCTCGGTAATATTGGTAAACAGAACAAATAGAGGATGAATCTCCCTAACAAGAGCATAGACAGCAGTAAGAACTTGACAGGTGTTCTAATCCATCTGCACTCTATCCAAAACCAAACACATTTATCAAATGTTGATGCTACCTCACGTGTGCAGTAGTGTCTTTGGGACAAAGCAAAAATAGTTCTACATTACCCCTAGAGTGGTCCAGCATTTAGTGGTAATGCTGTTCATCTCCCCTCTGATATCTCTCTGCAGATACCGGCAATCACATACCAGCACAAATAGCTTATTTGCTACTCTTTAAAATGTCACATGATCTGCTGAAGAGAGCTGTAGATAAATTATTAGTGATGGGAGAATTTCTGTGCCAGGAGCTGATTGCTGGAATGTGTGGGGATCATTGCAGTTTAGAAGAGATCAGCAGTACTGGCACTAAAAACCGTAACTGGATTCTGCAACCTGAGCATGTGCATGTGAACTCCATGAACGTCTATGGGGCAGGAGATGGATCATTCTCCAGGCAGGAAGAAGAGGACAGATGGTCTGCAGGTAAACGTTGTTGTAGCAGGCTAGTAGAGGATGCGACAGGGTGGGAAATGTTTCTAAAATATGTTTTTTTTTTTAAAGTTTTGGATAGAATGGAGAGGGATTAGATTATCTGCCATTTTTTTAGAGAGATTTACCATCTCTATTTGTCCATTGTCATTGAAAGTAAATGAAAATCCTAAATTTTAGATTGATACCAGAACAGGGGGAAAATCTTCCAATGGCAATACTAGTTCTGGTGTCACCCTGGTATTCCCTCACTGTGGAGAGATTTCCCCTCCCTTCCTATTTTGGCTGTGGGACAGGAAGTGAAGGGAAATCACTCTCCCCAATGGGACACAGATGGAAAAACAAAAATAACGACAGGAGTTTATATAACCCTCCCTTACTCTATAATTCTACTGTAACTATAAAAAGCATCCCTCTTTTTCAACTCTACACTGCTTTAAAACATATTTGTTAAGATCTCAAACATAATAGAGTAACTCAGATTACTTAGGCTTACCTTTCTTTTAAAACGTATGGAAAGCACATACTGACTGTTATTTTAGGAGGATCCTCAAAACCTAATGTCACCCAAGTTTCCTAGGTGAATTGACAAGTATGCACTTAGAAACTATGCCTCTGGGGTCAGGCAGTTAGTCCTCCAGCCTCATGGGGTGCTGTGCACATTGTGTGTTTTTCATGGGGGAAGAAAGAAGAAGCACGCATCTCTAGGCTAAGAGGAGTAGGAAAGCCAAACATTGAGTTGTTATTATAAATCTGCCCACCATCCCTGTTTCTGCATAATTTGTTTAAAGACAATGATCATGTAGAGAGCCAACATCCAAATGTATTCTTTATTTCTTTTATTATCAAGGTAAGCATTTTATTTGAAGTACAACCACTATTCATCACTCCTCTCTCCTAAAATAATGAACCTTTTTTTATTATTTCTAATTTACTATATCTGATGAAAGGTTCCCAGTAAAAAATGCTGCTTGTGAGATTAACATCTACCCTTTGTATCTAAAAATAAACTGAAAAAATACATTTTGCAGGTCAAGATGGCACAGAAAAAAGAAACCACTATTTCGTTCTTGTTTTCACCATTTAGGTAAGCAAACTATTATATATGCAATAGTTAAAAAATGCCAGAAAATCTGTTTAGTTATTTTCTTGGCTTGCTGTTCCATGTTCATTTGCAGACATGTATCTCTGAATACAATGCAGTCCAGACAGACAAAGTATTGTCAAAACTGGTTTTTGTCTGTGATGACGACAGGGCCGGATCTAGCCAGTCTGATATGGGGTGTAGTAAAAAAATATCAGAGGGGAAGAGTATAGGAGGTCAGAAGGGCAGTGCACAAAAACAGGAATCCGTAGTGGAGTATACTGAGGGTCAGCAGGGCAGAGGACAGGATTTATCAGAGCAAAGGGCTGGGATCCGCAGTTTGTAGGGCAGTGTGCAGGGGATCAGCAGGGCAGAGGACGGGTGGTTAGCAGGGTGGAGGGCAGGAGTCAGTATGGTAGTGTATTGTAGGGGTCAGCAGTTTGTAGGTCAGCGTACAGGGGGTCAGCAGGGCAGAGGACGGTTGGTCAGCAGGAGAGTGTACAGGGGTCAGTATGGCAGTGTACAGGGGTCAGCAGTGCACAGGACATATATGTTTTTAAAGGTGAACTTAGCCTCTAAACAGTATAAACAATATGTAAACATTGACAATATTAACAATACTCGTAACAAGTAATCCGACTGGCTTTATAATAAAAAAATCAAAACAGGATGAGAAAATGTGAGCAAGACTGTGATCATGAAAGACATGGGGCACCCTAGAAAAGAACAGAGAAATACTTAATGTGGCTGGCCAGTGGGAGAATCTTAAAAAGGGATAGAACAGAATCTGTGCCTGCTGTATACAGTGCACACCTATACTACACTGTATGTTTTTATGCACACAAAAAGGCTATTTTTGCCCTAGGTGGCCATACTTGGATCAAAATTCATCTGCTTCAGTAGTGACTGGTTTAATTTCAATCCATGTAAGAGCAGACTGGTTGTACCGAAGTCGATCTACCAATCGACCTCTGTACAATCAGCCTCTAGGAAAATTTCTGCGCAATTAGCACCGCCAGCTATAGCTGGCAGCATGGATCAGTGTATTCTGGTGACATTGAAGTCTCAGTCTTTGCTGTTAGAACACATTACCTCAGTGGGAGTGATTCACCATCCACATTGAATTTGTGGATGAGAGAATCAAGTAATTTTTTTTTTTATTCAACACATTGTGGAACGAAAAAAAGAATGGCTAATGTCTGGGCCGCCTTACTGAGCCTACCTTAAAAAGAACTCCGTTAAACTCCAGCAACTGTAGAGAAAATGAACACCTTGGTCAGGTCTATGTACTGTATATCTATGTGTAATGAGTACAGGGGTCACAATAAGTAAAAAACAAAATAATATATGGAATGTAGCAGTCAGGATGAGAGCCACGTT